TCTCTCTCTCTATCTCTCTCCCCCCCTCTCTTTCTCTCTCTCTCTGTCGGGTTGAGTTTCTCTAGAAATTGATTCTGTTTCAACTTGTCGCTGCAGGGCCGCTGGAATTTGTTCGCCATCCCCTGCTTTCCCCATCTTCACAACCTAAATGCACTACCAACATTCAAAAGTATAAGAGGACTGGGGATTTTTGCCACAATGTCTGATCTGGTGGGAATACAGCCTAAGTCACTGTTTTCATCATGTGTAACTGGTGTTACAGTCGAGCATCAGACAGTTTTTACTGCTTGAAACTAAAATTGGTAATAACCACCTAATGAAAACTTAACCATTATCTACTAGCTATTTTTGAAAGCAGTGCTGAATCCTCTGCTTATGCATGCATGGAAAATAAAAGTGCAGTTGAGGACATTCTGTTGCTCAAATTGAGTGTTTTCTATTTTTATCCCAAAGAAGGAAAATTGCATAACGCTTCTAGTTTTTAATAAAAGAGAGTTCAGCATCAAAAACACATTGAGAGATAAGAATTTAACAAGTGTCTGTCATGTGCATTTCTGTTTTGGTAGGAAAGCCAGGCATCGCCCACAGAGACCTGAAGTCCAAGAACATCCTCGTGAAGAAGAACTGCACATGTGCCATCGCTGACCTGGGCTTGGCCGTCCGTCATGACTCTGCCACAGACACCATCGACATCGCACCCAATCAAAGAGTGGGCACCAAGAGGTCTGTGTCAACATACACACCGGCAGTCGCTGACTGTCCGTTCCCACAGATATCTTTGACACCTTTCCCAGAATATCCTTTAATTCTGCACATCATTACAGACTGGGATTGTTTTTACGTCTCACAGGTACATGGCTCCAGAGGTTCTGGATGAGACGATCAACATGAGACACTTTGACTCATTCAAATGTGCTGATATCTATGCTTTGGGGCTGGTCTACTGGGAGATTGCACGCCGCTGTAATAGTGGAGGTCAGACTCTTTTGTTTTCACTCTGGATACTCAACCCGTGTTGTTTGTGTTTCTTTATCAATGTTAACAACTGAGATCACAGCACTGATCTGAACTCAACCTTGTCCTGTGTTATCAGGTATCCATGAAGAGTACCAGCTGCCCTACTATGACCTGGTACCTTCTGACCCCTCCATAGAGGAGATGAGAAAGCTGGTGTGTGACCAAAAGCTACGACCCAACATCCCGAATTGGTGGCAGAGCTACGAGGTATAAAAATTTATTTATACTAAACATTTGTTACCATTTAAGATCTGCACTTACACTTGAAAGGTAATTTCAGTTTATTAGGTCTTATTTTTGATGGTTTGCTCATAATTCCTGTCTGTAATCATTTTATTTAAAATTGTTTTATTGAAACAAACAAAAGGGCAGAGTTGTATAAATGTTGTACGTGGATATAATACCCTTGTACACCCATTTACACTCACAAATGACTTGTATTTGTAATGGCAACAGAAAGAACAAAGGGAGGGTGGGGCAGAAGGCAGGAATGTTGTGAAATCACTAAAAAGAAGTCCAAGAAGTTATCAGGTCAAAGCCCATGTTATCGTGACTGCTGGGAATGATGGCCAAAGCTGCAAAAATAAGATCAACGATGCAATAAACTGGGTTATTCTTTAAAGCTCTTTTTTTGAGTGAAACTTTTATATTTTTTTGGTATATTTTCAAGCCAAATTAGATGACTGTCAAATTTCCCCATGAAACATAGACAATGGACAATAACATATATATCTATCCATCTATTGATATTTAAAGGCAACACAATACAGGAACAAGGTGTTGTTTTTGAATACTATGCATAGACTACTTGAACTACATTTGTATCATCATCATAATCATTCATGAAGTGTATTATAGGCTTTTAATCCTTATTTGCTTTATCCCCCTGCTGTTCCAGGCCTTGCGTGTTATGGGCAAAATCATGAGGGAGTGTTGGTATGCTAACGGAGCTGCCCGCTTGACGGCCCTGCGCATTAAAAAGACCCTGTCCCAGCTCAGCATTCAAGAGGACATTAAAGTCTGAGCCTCGTCAGCAGAGCACGGCGAAAGAGCCCTGAGCAGGACCCGACTCCAGACCGCAGGACACTGAGAAGAAAGGGGCCGGGCCGTCTACAAAGAACGCACAAAGTCAGAGAATACGATGGAGAGTCGCACTTTGTAAAATATCACTCCATAGACACTCCTGCCAGTTTTGAAGCCACTTGATTTCTGACAAACCCTACCTCGCTTACCCAGCCAAACTACTAAGAACACCTTTCCTGTCTTGTCCTCAGCTACTGCTGCCCTACCTGAACCTTTTTGTTCCTCTCTACACACTACACTAACAAGGATCCTTGGATTTCCTGTGTTACTTGTATGCAATCGATATTAGGATATGTAATTAACCAGTTAACGTTTTGAAAATCAGTTGCTGATATTTCCACAAAGTCTCTTTGATCACAGTTGGTAATAGTTGTCTTCGAAATGGGGGCAGGCTGGGAGTGTTTTTAACTTATTTTTACTTATTCTGTTCTTTAAATGACTTGATCTTGTTGTTAATATATGGGTGTTTGTGAGGTTATTTCTCTGTGCCACCTACAGCACACAGACACACCACAAACTGCTTAGAAATCCTTCAAAGAGAATAATCCATCTGGTTCTGCTACAACTGTGTGGTTTAGTTGTGTGCTGATTCCCATGTAAGCATGTAAAAAGCAGTTTGTGTAATCGCAGCCCATTTACTTTCAACAAGGTTGTTTTGAGACTTCAAAGTCACTGGAGCATTAGGGCAACTTGCCAAACATGATTTGGCCTTTGGACAACTTTCCTGGAGCCCTTCCCAAATAAGCTGTTGTGAACCTCAGGTTTTCCTTATGCTTACCAATCGAAACCTTTTTTGTCTGTTTAGAACAATCTGAAGCAAAATACACACATAGGAATTATTCAGCAGAAATGTATTTCACTAGGATGGAGGGTAAAACAGCTGCCAGAGACTTTATGTGTTTGTCTTAGCTGACACACTCACTGGGTTCAGATTGGGACACTTAACAAAAACACACATAGCAGCATGCTACATGTAGTACATTTAAATGGTAGTTAATAGTAGTTATTCCAGTCAACAGACCATAACCTGCCATGGGAGTGAACGTTGCTCCAGTCCCTCAGATAAGCTGGTACTCTGCAGCAACCACTACTATTTACACTGTACCTTAAATATGGGGCAAAGATGTTTTTAATTCCTTTTAAAATTCCAGGAATCGGAATATTTAGTTTTTATGTTAATTTTTTTAATATTTCAAAGCATGTCCAATGTTCTTTTCCCCTCAGGGCGCATTTTCCCTGGCCAAGTATAACTACTGCACATAAACTAGCTTTTTAAGGTGATACTTGTGTATATATGGCATTTTAATTAGATTTTGTGTTGATACTTAGGTCATGTTTTAGATTGAATCTTTTATACTGGCTTTTTGGTTGGTGGGAAGAAAATCTAAGACTTCTGTCTTGCGGTTTGTAAACAGAATTATCCACTTTCTGACCTCTAAAGTAACATAACTATATGTAACAGACACTGTTTATGTTGAATTTCTCCAATAGCCCTCTATTACTGCAGAGCAGTATTTGATTTTTAAGTGATGTTTCCCCTCACGGCTCCTTTTGTTCACCATACAGTACCTCCTCAATGTGGAAATTGTACATGGATTGTTTCCTTCAAGCTGTCATTGTCAGAAATCACTGTCTACTTTGTTTTATGTTTTCAGGAAATAGGTGCACTTTTGTCTTTAGCGTAATGCAGATTCAACAGGTACTGTTTGTGTGTAGTCCCATGTTATTTATATTTGTATGCCGTGAGTCCCTACGAAAGCCTGAAAGGCCACATGTGCACTACTACTGACCTCACAGCATTCAAACCAAATTGTTCTCAGAATCCTCTCTGGTCACGGCCTCTAGTGTTTATTTAAGATCACATTACTAAAAAGGAGATTGTTGTAACGGATCATCTCAATCAGATGCCGTACACTCCATCTGACTGGAAACTGTAAAGAGAATCTGACTTTTATTTGGGAGAAGAAATGTTGAAATCAAATACTACTGAAATGTCTCAGTGCTGTCTCACAAATGTGTTTGACCAATACTTTTTATTTTAAAATCACTGGCTCACTGCACTGTACTGTCTTACAGGATGTTTGTAAGAACGAATAGACTGCACTTGATGCTGTTTTTAGGCTGTGGAGCTCTTCTGTGTGTTAGGTGTTGGGAGTGTCAACCATATTTATACACTAAAGGGGTATGTTTGTCAAATTGTATCTGCCTTACAATGTACAAAATGCATAGCTTACTTAAGGTTTTTAATACCTTGCACCAAGTATATGGAATAATGGGGTCAAATAAATTAGGTATTATTCTACAGGTTGTGACTAGTCCCAGGTCTCTGTCCAGTCAAGGCAAAGACACAACTGCATCCATGTAAAAAACCCTTCAGGACTTCAATCATGTACCTTCTAATATAGAGTAATAAATGCAATTGTTTTCCTATGTGGTGTCTTTTGTTTTACTTTCTTTCATCTTTGCTAACCCAAGAAAAAAAAGGAAGTGTTAAATCAGCTTTAAAACTATTTTATATCATCAATGGATCAATTGTGGTGGTGAACTCACAGATTTACTCTGCAGTTCCCCACAGCTCTACAGAGCATTTTAGCCTCTTTTAGGTCATTGTTTCGGTTTTACTCAAGTGCATCAGTCCACTCTGATTTTCAGTGGCCCCCGGCGGCTGTGTAAGGAAAAAAAGCACTCTCTATCAATTAAAGGCAATAAAAAGCCCCCAAAAAACTAGCCTGTGTACATTTAGCACCTAAAGAGCTATTTCCCTCAGAGGTTGAGAAGTAAATATTTGACATTCATCAGGTGAACACAAACAAGTCCCCATCAATGCTGATGTTGCTCCATATCTGCTGGATGTGTAAATACACAAGCATTTCTTTACATGTTCACCATATCAACATTACAGGTTTATGTCAGTGTTTACGTTTTGTTTCCACTGCCCAAAAGTGGCCCCAAAAAATCAGTGATCATCATCAGTGCAGGCCTAACTTAACTAAAGTTAATGTTGCAGTGTAAATCCATCACTATCATCACTGCTGCATCTTTAGATAAAGGTAATGTGATATACAAAATGTCTGCATTTAAGAGAAATGCCATTCAAAACAAATTCAAAGAACCTTTATTGCTCATCCTTTAAACTGTAATCTCAATGCAGATTAGTACAAAAACTGTGCATTTATTCATAGAGTTGTACACATTCAATTTCAAACATACCAAAACAGGACGAGTGGCATGTTCCTGGCCTATCTGATGAAAACAGAAAGGAAATGCTGGTATTTAGTAAGTCCCCTGATGACAATGACCAGAGAGCAGTGGAGTAAATCTAGAAACTAGACTTGATGTTCTGACATAACACACCAAAAATATATATAAATCAGAACGTGAACAATACCACATAAATCTGAATTGTTAATTTGACCAATCATTTAGTTTTAAGTGATGGACCACTTTTTTTTTTTTTAATTTGCAGCATTAAAGCAATAAGCAAAATCCCTTTAACGTTAATAATGCCAAAACCTGAAGTGTGGAAGAACAGAACAGGCAGAAAAAAGGTGTCTCTAATGTAAAATGTACAATCCATTAAACCTTTTGTTATACACGACAACACAGACAAAATGGCAAAACATAAAACTGATAAATATCCAGAGCGTGTGCATTCAAACAGAATACAACAATAGTTAACGGTCGTCTCTAACAGCGGATTCACTGACGCTGTTCTAGACTCCACCAACGAGTTTGTCTTGGGGGCCTAAAGTGCCCTTCCAGGTTTGCTTCTTCGCTGTCTGGCTACACAACAAGATTAAAACCTGAGCCCTTGAATTCTTCACACACAGCTAACTGTGGTAACTTCACTTAATTGACATAAATCCATTTTTTCTTCTTTAGTTCATTGAAATTGGATTAAAATTGTTATTTTTATTATTAATATTTTATTATTTTTGGAGCAACAGGTCCTGAAGCTGAAACCTCTAATTTTCCTAAAAGCCCTGACTTATTAAATTTAGTTAGACCGTGACCACGGTTCATTTACATCTGTGAAATCATTTTAAAAATACAACTGAGCAGTACAGGCTACTGACCAGCTCCAAGGTCTGAATGATAAATTAATCTGAATTATTTTACAATCTTCACACAAAGCTAGCATGTAGCAAGGTTTTGGACTGTATGTATGGCACATACATACAGATAAATACCTTAGTAACCATATATCCATCAATATTTATTGCAAATGATCGGGGCGAGTGTAGTTGTTTATGGTAGAAAAATAATAAAAGATATACAAGTCAACCCTCCACCTGCATTTAAGTAATCTGAACTGAATGGATCATTTAAGCCGGATAACATCATACTACTTATATGTACAAAGAACAGGGCGCAGTCAAATGCCGTAACCTGCCAGAACAACAACACGAATGTTGATCTGACAAAGTTACAGTGTGTGGAATTACCTTTACATTTGCTTTATATGCCTCTACTCCAGATCGATTTTTAGCCTTATTATAGAAATGAAATGCTGCCAACAAAAGGCCATACAAGTGAATCAGTTTTCCTTTAGCTGGTAACTGATTATTTGATTTATATTACTAGGAGAATACATTTATAATCAGTCATAATTAATGGTCCTCCTCTACGTATATCAGCACTAGCAGTCACAGAGAGATGGGAATGATGCCTGGTCCTCCTGAGAGGCTACAACTCCTCTCTTGTGCTTTTACATCTCTAGTGCGGCTTGGAATTTGGCTCAATTTACAGGAGCTTCTGCGTGTCCTGTGCTATTCCAATTTTATAATGCTGGGTTGTTAAAATGTCACATCTTTGCAGAGAGGGAGAAGTCATGTTTGAGTATAGGATAACAGGAGATGATGATTCAATATACTGTCTTAATTCCCCTCTCACATGCCTGTTTTCTTTCTCCCTTTGCCCTGACCTCTTAAAACTGTTCAGCCTTCCCTTGTTTGAGTTACTTCCTCACGCTGTTCCTGTGGACAGAAAGACCAAATCATCACTTAGAAAAATATGTGAATGATTACATTGAAATACTTCCTGTATATGTAAGCTCCAATAACATTAGACAGTTATACGACTGTACTTACCCTCTTCTCCATCAGTAAGCACTAGCGCCTGGAGGATATCTGAAAGGGAGACGATCCCCTTCACCACTTCCTGCTCGTCCACCACCACCAGCCTGTGCACCTAAAGAGACACACAGGAGCACCAATACTTTTACTTATGCCAAATAGTTTTCTCCCAAATTTCCTGTCTATTTTGCTTTCCAATATATACATCTGTTATTTTATCTGCTATTAGATGTACATGTTACTTTATTTCTAATGGTTTAAGTTGTTGTGTCACCTTTCTTAAGGAATTAATAGTTCACTGTAGTTCCTCCTACACACTTCACAACCCGTTCTCATTCCCAGGTCGTCAAATACGGACACGGTGTTCAGTTAGCTTCAATCTGAAACTTCACTGCTAGATTCCACTAAATCCTACACACTCCTTTAAGTTTGTATTAAATACAAAATTGGAGAAAAGCTGGTGCTGTTTGATGTGTTCCTGTACTAAGGAAGAATTTAAAAAGAAAATTAAAGTGTGGAGGAACATTTCTGACATTGTTTATCAGAGGTTGGACAGCAATACCCAAAATCAACACCAGCCACAAGAGACAAGAGACAGCTTCTCGGTGACACATAACGGCATCAAACTCTCACCTCGGCCTCCACCAGTCTGTTGATGATGGCCTCCAGGGTCTCATGTCTGTTGCAGGTCAACACTCCTTCAAAGTACTGAGAGCGGTGCTGCAATGCTTTGGTCACTGTCACATCCAGGTTGTTGTACGTCTTCTCTGCTGCCAGGTTCTGAACAAACGCAGGTCTTCAGGTTAAAAATGTTTGTTCATCTTAAGGAAAAACAGCAATGCGGTTCATGTACCAAGATTAAAGTAAATTAACAGTACAGTTGGGTAAAGTGCATGTAATTTAACATCCCAATATATAAAAAAATAATTGTTAGTTGCATCCCTTTTCCTATTTGCTTATAAGCCAAAAAAAGTTGAAAATACAACGAGTAAACACTGACAGATAACAACTTACTATAACATCAAATTTGGAGTATATATCCACCACTCGACCTGCAAGAGAGAGGCAGCAAATCAGCACACAAACAAAATAAATTCAAGAGGTTTGTGGTCATTAATGAAAAATCAACAAGGGTGTCATATCAACCAGCCCACATACCTTTGTCATCCACAACGGGGAGCGCTGACACTCGCTGATCGACAAAAATGCCCAGCGCAGTGTACAGCGGTGTGTCAGCACGGACCACTGCTATGTTCTTGAATGTGCCGATGTTCAGTTCCTCTATGGTTTGTTTCAAGAACGAAGGTTTTGGCATCTCTGATATCTGAAAACAAGAACAAGAGGTTGTGAAAACTTGATCAAAACTGTCGAGGAATGGATGTCTTTTTAAAGAACTTTATCAGAAATACTTTATTGATCCCTGGGGGGACATTTGTTTGTTACAGTTGTTCTACTCACACATGTTAAAGAATAGAAATAATACTTATATTACAATATCTAACACAATATGTGTTACTTAAGTAAATGTTAAATGGAAATAGAAATATAATAAGAGCCTAAGAGATATAATAAGATAACACAAGTCTGTATACAAAGTAAATGTAAACATATTCCACAGTATGTGCTGACACAGATTAAATAGTAATGAGTTTAAGATTGTGGTGTTGAATAAGTTATAGATAATTACAAGGAATAACTGAATAATTACAAGCATGACATAATAATAATCATGTGTATTGCACATTGACCCGGGTAAAAAATATATATAAAATATACTGTTTCCTTAGCTGGAGCTGGTCTTAACTCCGGCAGGTCAAGTATTTAATGTAGTAGTAGGGAGGAGAGAAGCTAAAAGCGACTTACAAAAAGCTTCAGGAACTTGAGAATCCTCTTGTGTGTGAGAATATAGAGTGTGTTTCCTGTCAGGGGGTCGATTACAGGCAGTCTGTGGATCTTATTCTTCAGCAGAGATGATACTGCATCATACAAACTGTGGCACACAGAAGTTAAAAGAGGACTGAGTCAATCAAGTTATTTTCCATTAAGCATGTTGTGAGATAAGACGGCCAACTAAAAAAATAAAAGGAGACATTGCTAAGAGATACTAATGTTAGTTAGTTAGCTAAGGGGTTTGTTAAGGTGTCTTGGATATATATATATATATATAAAAAATAAAAACATAATATTTGGAAAACAAAAGGTTGGAACTGAAATATTAAAAACTTCAACATGTTAATAATAGGTTTCTATCAAAAAATTAAAAATATCTAAATTATACAAAAGCTAATCCAGGTAGTGGTTTGATGTCTGTCTCTATTTCCAGAGAATGTGGACAAAAGAATAAGGATGTGGAGGATACATATAGACATACAGTATGTGTACTTCCTCAACAACATCTGCTGCTGCTTTAAAGAGTTACTGCAACAAGCTAAACCATCAGATGGCCTCTAGTTGTTTGCCCCAGCAAGCAGCACCCGTGTAATCAGGAAAGTGAAATTTGATACCAACAACAAACTGTAGATGTCGGGAAGTACGCCTGCAAACCAAACATTAATTTAACAAAAACAACTCACCTTGCATTGGGAGATATGCTAACCAAGGGCTTGAAAGAGTCTTGAAGGTACAGCTCTGTAATAAACAAGAACAGACCATGTAGTTTAAGACTTTCAGGATTACCAGAGCAAATGACAAGAAATACAGTATTTTTTTGTTAAACCTTCTCACCTCTCCATGTTTCAATTTTGTGTTCTTCCAACTCATATATCTGAACCTGAGAGATTACAAGGAGAGAAATCAATGCATGAAGCTCTTGATAAGAGAAAAAGACCACATTCAGCAACACAAAAGTCCTGCAGTTCAATTTTGTGACTTAATATGTTTCATCTAATCTTACAGTTTAGGGCTATTTCATTTCATCTTACCAATGGAGATTTGTAGTAGCGATGAAGGATGTTAATAAAGTCTGTGATGGTTAGCATACCTGTGAAGACACATGAGGAGAATAAAGTCAGTCCTTTATTTAATTTGGTCTTACACCGAGTGAACGTGTGCCAAGTGAAAATTACCCTTACCGACAAAGCACTGCTTCTTACTGTCCCACAGAGGCGCCGCTCTTACCCCATTGGACACAAGAGCAAAAAATGCCTTCTTGACCTGTAAAATGAATCACACCAAAAGGTTCAGTCTACAGTAGCTAATGGCAGACACATTTCTATCTTCTGTTTTAGACTTAAAGCTTCTGTTGTACCTGTAGTGATGTGTCAAACACAACCAATTTGGAGCTGGTAGGTACCAGGTCATAACACCGGTGAGACTTCATAAACCTGGTGTACACATTGTGCTCCGGGTCTGAAGGAATGAGAGAGAGAGACACTTTTGAGGACACTTGGGTTGCTATTTATAAACGACATTGTTTCTCAGTTTGGTCTCATGAGAAGCCCTTTACCCTCTGGGACTGGGTCCTTTTTACCCTCAAGATCATCAATAGTTACTGGAATCTGAAAGGAAACAATTAAAGGTCATTAAAGTGGAGTTTGTTTATGCCACTTCCCAAACGAATGTGAAAGCTCTGGGGTTGTTTGTTTGTTTGTATAAACAAAAATCTGCATAACAACATGGCTAAATAATCTCTGACTGGCCCTTCAAGTGAGGCTAAAGCTTTATGGGTTACACAGTGTGTAGAACTAGTGGTTAGGTAACATTGACATGTTTATGTATAATGTTATATTAACTAACTAAGGCTAACATTACTGTAGGACTGGTTGGGTTTAGG